AAAAGAGACATGACAAAAACGACTCGCACAACAAGCACAAAGACTGAACTCGTCGAACACCGTTGGATGACGGGGCACTCAGTCGACTTGGACAATGATACGACTTTGGCACGAGAACAGCGCTGGAGTCGTGGAACACCGGTGTGTAACGCCCAATGCGGCTACTTACATGACGTTGACAAAGGGATATTCAATAGTGACTGTCCTACCTTTCGTATCATTTTTCAGTGTATACTGAGGGTGTCACCTATATTAGGGAAGAAATGTTTGTATTTTTGTTGTGTGGAGGTTGCAGAAGTAATGCCCAGCTTCGTGTGGAAATAGCTTTTTATTTATTTTTTTTTTGTTATCACGCGCCCATCGTTTTTCCCACCGCGTGGCTGTCGCCAAATGGACCTTCCTTTGGGGATGGAGTTGTGCCAGAGCACTATCTTGAAAATATTTCTAGGAGTCCAGTTACATATTGTCACGAGTGACAACTGATGAGACGGCGAATAACTCGAGTAACTAGACGTTTAATGGGGCGATCTTGTGCCCAAAACTAAATAGAAGTTCAGTGTTGCAGCCGTCGATGTCGGCAAACCAGCAGAATCGGACGCCGGGGCGAGACTGCCCCCGGCTCGCCACGCGGAAATCCTTTTGCCCACGTGAGGGCTTCTGGAACAAGCGGCGTAGAAGGCTGGGGTGTAGAACCTCGAATAAGCAACAATGTCCTTGAATTTACAAGAACGCGACATTTACCAAAATAACAAAAATGTGCTTTTGCTACCAGCCATCGAACCTTGGCCTTTGCGTGGCAGCCAAGCACGATAATGATTCAGCCACGGGCACGCTTGCCCTGAAACGCGCGTGACATTACTCCCCACTTTAAAAGGGCACCGTCTTGGAAAGTTGGTGCGCCGTGCATAATCTAAAGGGCATCACCCTGACTCATACAGTTCCTCCGGCGTGACGAAGGCTGTCTTCTCTCGGTCCCCCATTCGTTGACTTTGATCTTCCAGTAGCTGCTCTTCAAGTTCGTGGATGAAAAGTACCGAGAGAGGCGCAGCCGGTGTAGCGTGTAGCGGTGTAGGTGAATAGACGTGCCGCGGTGTAGCGGTGTAGTTAGATGGGCGTCTTCTTTAGCCACCGCTTTCAGCTGCCGGTAGTCCACGAAGGACCTAGGCGTTCTATCCTTCTTCTTAACGAATACGATTGGGGAGGCCCACGGACTGCTTGAACGCTGGATTCTGTCGTCGTTCAGCATCTCTTGGACTTGCTCTGAAATGACCTCCCTTTCTTTTACGGAAACTCTGTGCGGCGGTTGATGCGTCGTCCTCGGTAACGACGCGGTGCTTCGAAACTGCGGTCTGGGGCACCTTCAACGATGTCGCAAAGCAGACGCTGTATTAGGCGAGGAAGTTAATCAGCTGCCGTCGTTTCGGGCCCAAAAGCTTCAATGTCAAGCTGCGCCGGCGACTTGTTTTCTTGCTTAGGCGGCGAGGATTTTCCAGCAATCCCGGCGATTTCGGCGGAGTTCCGGAGTTCCTCGACGCGGCCCACAGCGGCACCTTTCGTGAGGTATTGCGTTTCTTGTCTAACGTTCGTCACGAGGACCCCAGTGCGTCCATCCTGAAGTTCAGCTACACCCCTTGCGACACCTATTCTTCTTCCTTGGAGCAATTGAATGTTGACTTTCTTAACAACTTTGCCGCAGCTAACTGCATGGGTTACGACAGGTAGAAGAGCACTTGATCACGTCGTCAGGTTTACGTGTTCGGCAGCGGCTCGGGTGGCAACTGACGTCGTTTGGGGTTCCTGTAAAGGCATAACAGGTGTCGGCAACGTTAACCTGTTTTCTCGAAGGTCGATGACGGCGCCGTAATCACAGAAAGTCCATGCCGAAAATGACGTCTCTGGCATAGTCACATAGAACGAGAAATTTCACATCACACGTCTCGCCGTGAATTTGGACTCAGACAGTGCACCTTCTGACGGTTGTAATAAGGTGTCCTCCGGCGGTTCGAATGTGTGGTCCATCCCAGGCCGTTGTAACTTTTTGCAGGCGGCGAGAGAGCCTCCCACTCAAGACTGGATAATCTGCTCTGGTGTCTACGAGTGCCGATGTGTCGTGGCCGTCGATAACAACGTTTAGGTTGTTGGGCACCGTTGCAGGAACGTCGTTTTGATGCGTGGAGTAGAGAGTGTGAGAGCGCTCCGGTGTTCTTGGCAGTTTTTGGAGCGCAGCTCTTAGGGGCCCGTTCCCGGCTTGAGCGGCGTCGGCGTCGGCGTAACCAAGGTCATCCCAAGGTCACGCGGCCCCCAAGGTCACCCCAAGGTTACGTGACCCCCAGAGTTCACGTGACCCCTCCCCCAGCGTCACGTGACCTCGGGGTCACGTGACTTTGGGTGTCACGTGACCTTGGGGGTCACGTGACCTCTGGGCGTTACGTGACCTTGGGGTGACCTTGGTGGTCCCAAGGTCACCCCCGAAGTCACGTGACACACCCCAAGGTCACGTGACCACCCCAGGGTCACGTGACCCCCCGCCGAGGTCGCGTGACCTCCCCGGTGACGTCATCGTCAATGATGACGTCACCGGCATCCGCATCGTCATCGTCATCATCACTGATGACGTCATCAGTGACGTCACTGATGACCTCACCGGCATCCGCATCATCATCATCACTGATGACCTCACCGGCATCCGCATCGTCATCGTCACTGATGACGTCATCAGTGACGTCACTAATGACGTCACTGGCATCCGCATCGTCATCATCACGGATGACTTTATCAGTGACGTCACTGATGACATCACCGACATCCGCATCGTCATCGTCATCATCGCTGATGACGTCATCGGAGTCCGCATCGTCATCGTCACTAATGACGTCATCAGTGACGTCACTGGTGACATCATCGGCATCGTCACGTGACCCCCCAAGGTCACCTGACCCCCCCAAGGTCACTTCACCCCCCCCCCCAGTAACCTTCCCCCCCTTCTCCTCAAGAGCTGCGCTCTAATTCGGTGTTACAGGGAGTTGTAAACGGCTTTCACTTTTTTCTTCGATCGTAATCGGCAACGCCACCTCCAGGCGTTGTCGCACTTAGTTTTTCCAGTGCCGCAGTGGAGGCAGTTTTTTCTCGTATACGGTTTGTGGCGCTAGAGACGCTGAACGTCGTTGCGATAGTGAGTTGGATTCACGGCGGAGAGACGGGGCTAGGGGTGGTGAGCGTCGGAGGTACTCATGGATGTCGCGAGGACGTTCGCCGTAACTTGGGTGCGGGTCGCTCGGGTGGAATACGCGCAGCCCCGTGGTCGCTAGGGGCATGGGATGTAGATGTAGTCGACTTTCCCGCAATGGTAGAAAAGCGGGTGCTTGTCGGCGTTCACCACGTGTCGGTTTTTCTCGGTGAAGGACGCTCTGGTCAGACGCACAAGACTTGTTCTTCCTGGTGTCGCGGGCACTGCAGTGTTGGATTCTCCCGTCGGGACAGCGACTGGTATTTACGGGTAGCAGACAGCGGTCGTGGTGCCATGGTGGCGTAGCTGAGCGCCGGTCGCTCGAGTGGCGCAGGGTTGATAGGGAGCTTGTGGTTCGTTGGCTCTTTGAAGCTCTTCTCGCACGACTTCGGCGATGAGCAAGGATGTTGGAGGGACCACTGCCAACAGACGTTTCTTGAGTTCCTCGCGAACAACGTCGCAGATGATCTCGCAAAGTTCGTCGGCTTTGGCGCTGAGCTCTGAGCGGGCTGAAGCCATAGCTGATACGTCGTTGAGCCGACGATAGTGGTAAGCTGGGACCGTTAGCGCCCGCTCGATATTTCTTGCTTCTGAAACAAGCCCATCGACTGCCGTTGGAGGTTTTCGGACGAGGCCTCTTATAAGGACGCGCAGTATTTTTTATTCGGTGGCTTAACGACCTGCACGGGTACTCAGCCGCAGAATATCTTTAAGAGAGCTCGTGACGCTTTCGTTGGGTGCTTGAGACCTCGCCTGGAGATGATATGTGGCAGTCTGCATACAATGCTGATTCATGAAGTTCTGCTTCATCTCGGTGACGCAGCCGTCCCACGACGTCCGCGAAGACTCGTGGATTTCGAACCAGTGCCTCGCAGTTTCCTCCAGGCAGAAGTAAATATCTTGTAGGCGCTGTTCCGTAGTCTATTCGTTATGACGGGCTATGCGTTTATAATGTTTAAGCCAGTCCTCCACATCCTCGTGGGCCTCATCATGGAAAGGCGTCAGATTTCTTGGGGCGGCGGGCATACAGACGACAGATGGTGCGGTCAAGGTCTGCGACGACTGGGTGTTCATGGCTGGTCTTGTCGACTTAGAGGGTGTGGAACCACAATACATAAATGTTTTTCTAAAAAAAAATATTCTTAAAATAGTGTCCACTTTTATGAAAATCCCTAATGCTTACTTTAAGCGCCATCACCAGCGAGGGGGAAATCCGACATATCAATGGCCATGAGGTTTCGGCGGTAACAGATCTGCCTATTTTCTCACTGACACTCCATTATATCACTCGTCGCGTGTACAATTGGAGTCACCCATTTATCTAGTTTTCAATTAACCGAAAATTGGGCGGTCAATGAATATTGCAATGTGCCCTATGACGAAACTCAATTCATTCTGCCCGCCTTGACTTTGTTTTTCTTTGGACGCCTGCAGAAGAATGGAATCAATTTTGCCTTCTCTCTAAGGTCATGCGTAGGAACGAAAGGATGACGTTTAAGCGGTCGGTGGACGGAATTTGCGAAAACTGTTTTATTAGGCTAGGACACACTCATTCAACTAGCTATTATGCAGCCACTTAAGAGATTGTCATTCAATTAGCTATCCTGCAGCCACGAGCTGCAGACATCTGTAAGACATGGCTAGTACGAAGTGACTGGTAAACTAAAAACATTACATAAAAAGGTGTGCAATTTCAGTTCCTGCATTATTTTTCGACCTCTTTGGCAGGTATACGCACGCGTATTCTCGCAAAGCGTGTCTGCGCTATACTCACTTTCGCTCCTGTTCTGTGGAGAGGAGGCAATGCAGGGGCGTGCGGGACACGTACAGGTGCGGCGTGCTGTAGAAGACGCGGCTCAGCATCTTCCAGAGGTCGGTCTCGGCGAGGCAGACTGCGGCTAGGGCCATCATCCCGATCAGGCACATGCTAAAGATCTCCGGCCACAGGGAGTTGGGGCTCCAACCCAGCAGGTAGGTCCGGGGCCAGTGGCATGCAGCCCCCGACATGCACGCCAGTCGCCGGTTGCAGCAGCGGGCCAGGAACCAGTAGCGCCGCGCGACACGCACTTGGCTGTCGGAGACGTTCAGGATGCGGCACACCTGCCAGAAGCCCACTTCCTTCTCAATGTGCGCTTTGATGAAGGCTGCGTCTCGATCATTTTCATTTTTGACCTTACTTTATATGAACTTGTTTTATGAAAAAGATTTTCGCCTCCACAAAGAGGTTCCTGTGGACAGCGTGGGCACTTGGAAAGCCTTTAGAAAGAACTGCTTTTAAAAAATTGTCGAATGAGCTCGTTTTCTCGGCTCTGCTTCATTTTTTTTTTTTTTAAAGGAGTACGAAAAAGAGGGGAAGGCGAACTTTTACCTCTTAGCGTCCATTACCGCCGTAACGCTCGAAGTAAAAAATGAAAACCGTTTACAACTCCCCGTAACGCCGAATTGGAGCGCAGCTCTTGCGGAGGAGGAGGGTTGAAGGGTACTGAGGGGAGGGTATATTCCTCCATCCTTCTCCTCCCTCGTGATCCTGCCTGCTACTCCTGAACGAAAGGGCTCCGGTTGGAAGCCGGCCGAGGGACAAGAGATAAGTCTTTTAACATCATTTTTCGGAGTAATGAAAATTCCGATTCGTCCCCCCTGCTCAACCTCCCTGCTCCCCCCCCCGTCCTCCTCCCCTCACGGGGGTCACGTGATCTCGCGGGGGGAGGGGGGGTGGAGGGGGTCACGTGACGCCCGCACCTGGGGGTGTCGCGTGACCTGGGCTCTAAAAGTAAGCAAAATATTACCTCCCAAAGGGTGCAAGTTTTGGGAACGCGACAGAACAGCACACGACAAAACAGCACGCGACAAAACAGCACGGTCAAAATAGCACGCGTCAAAACAGCACAGCGTCAAAACAGCACGGCGACAAAACAGCACGCGTCAAAAGAGCACGCGACAAAAGAGCACAGCGTCAAAACGGCACAGCGACAGAAGAGCACGTGCCAAAACAGCACGGAGACAAAACAGCACGCATTTATCAACTTCGAGCTCGCTCTTCACCTCTCTCTGCGCGAATACTTTCGAACCTCCTTGACGCTTTCATTTATTGTCGCTAGGTTGTAAAGGATGAGAGCCTATTACTACCACTACTTAACTACGGTGATCTCTGAAGAGATTGGGTAGTTAGAGGTGATTTCTTCGTGGCGATGTTAGCCGCGTTGTCTTGTTTTTTTTTGTTTTGTTTTTTTTTGTAGAATTAGCGAAAGAGGAAAAGTTATTGGGAAAAAGAAATCCATAAGTTCAAATTATGAACCGCCTGGTTTGCGTCGGTCCGGTGAGGTTCCGTAGTACTCGCTGTTTCATAATTACCACCTAAGCGTAAAACGCCCCTCCCCCCCCCCCTTAAAAAAACACAAAAAACAACAAAAGAGTAGAAAAGTGGGAGATGCGTTGATTGCAGGTGCATTGGTACAACCGGTAAGATAAGGCACTTTAATGTTGAGCGTATTCAAGGTGGACATGGGCACTGATTCTGCAGGGTTCATTCGCCGTGAATAAAATGTCCCCGAAACACGCGGCTCCAGCTTGCAGGCGAGAAGTTACTTTGAGTTAAATTCACAGATTATTGCCGCCGAAGGCATCGATCAAGTGAAAACCGGTGAAGCAGAAACATGCCACAGCCTCAATGCTGTTGCCCTACAGCATGTGCTGAGCGCATCGTTGCCGCAGACGCTTTCTGTTTCTCTTTTCTTTTAACTAACGAGAGCAACATGCCGTGCGAATGATTTATTTACTGTAGACGACATCACCAGCAAACTTGCGCGCCAAAATTAGCGGAACTGCTCGAGAAATAGCCAGAATACGCACCAGCGGAGGCTTCGGTACTGCCCAGAAAGCCTTCACGTGCCACCATATCGAGTATACTCCCCACTCCGAACTTGCTCCCAACAGAACGGATTCGACAAATTGGCCGTCGACGTGTTGGCTTTCGACGAATCGGCCGAGACCCCTCATTTCTTTACAGTACCTACTTTGAAACATGTATTTTTTAACTCCATACGCTATATTTAGGGTTCAGCGTTTACCGCATAAAACCGGTAAAGGTACGCCGAATTAATTTTCCAAATTCGGTTTTAACTGAAAAAGGTTATTATTTTCTACGGCGTTCGGAGGGGTGGGTGGGGGGATGTGACTTATTAATGACCGTATGACCACTTCCTTTCGCAGCTTTCAGCTTGTCTCCGAGATCAGTTTAACTCTCAACAAAAGCTCCGGAGGCGCAAGGGTCTTCAAGGCGAAATCTTTTCACCTGAGTTTTGTGTGCCGAATTCTTTGTTCAAAGAAAAGAGTTTATTCGTGAACTGAAAAATGAAAATCAAGGGCATCCGTAAATGCCGCACATTTTATGACACTCCTAGCTTCCATCTACTAGAGGAGGGCATAAATACGATTGTTTTATTGTCGTTTCTGTGGTCGGCACAAATTTACCACCTCTCGCAGTCGTGAAAATCGGGGAAAAAAACGCACTGAGTACAATGCTTGAAAATTTCTGCATTTTGATATTTGCCTCTCCGACCGAAGTGGTAGTCCATTATACAAATATGAGCATACGACGATAATGTCAAATCACGACAGGGCGCAAGTGCGTCTTGCGCCCTGTCGTGATTGTGCGTCGGCTGCCAGTGCGTCGGCTGCCACAGACAGCAACAAAGAACAAAACCAGTACCTAGTTTACTTACTATACATTTCAAAGAAACGCTTTTACATATTGAATTTTCGTCAGTATCCTGATTTTCGTCAATAAACCGAAAAGGACCGAGAAGTTTATGAGTCTACAAATATTCACCGCGATAAGCCGAAAACGTTTGTTTGGATAAAAACGGAAAAAAGTTCGCCGAATTTCAAAACAATAGAAACCGAAAACGCCAAACCCTAGCTATATTATCAATGTCCTGTTTTGACACTGAGCTTTTTTGTCGCGGTGCTGTTTTGACGCTGTCCTCTTTTGTCGCTGCGCTGTTTTGACGCTCTGCTGTTTTAACGCCGTGCTTTTTTGGCATGTGCTCTTCTGTCGCTGTGCCGTTCTGAAGCTGTGCTGTTTTGTCGCGTGCTATTTTGACGCGTGCTGTTTTGTCGCCGTGCTGTTTTGACGCTGTGCTGTTTTGACGCGTGCTGTTTTGACCGTGCTGTTTTGTCGCGTGCTGTTTTGCCGTGTGCTGTTCTGTCATGGTGCCGCAAGTTTTGACAGCTGTGATTTGCTTTGATTGGCGCACACGAGATTGCTAATTGGTCTCCGCGTATGACTCGCGAGGCGCTTGTCGTTCATCGCGCATGCGTGGGCGAGCGCCCGTCCGACGAAAGCCGCCTGACCGGCTACCGACGAGGTTGAGTCATGACGGTCTTTCTTTGTAGAATTCGAACGTTCGAACGAGGCGTGCCAGCGCAGGAGCGAGCTTCATTGCTTTGTTCAATTCACACTCGTCTTATGAAGTCACTGAAAGCGCAGGATTCAGTTTTGTCGAAGATCCAAATAGTGCGCACCCTATCGTAAGCAGGTATGTAAATGATCTGTCAGGTGATTGTTGGATACGGTTAGACGGCCCCGCGAAGAGGACCCCCGTCTTGGCGCCACAAAGGGTTGGCGGACATGTTTGCACGTTTGAAGCCGACTTGGGAAGTAATCCTTTACAAGTAACGGATTCCTTGTAATCCAGTATTTGTAGGGGCGAAGCTCCTTAGTGTCTAGCCTTGTCCGTCCGGCGTCCGTGCTCACATCGATTGCCATCCCATCTGTCTTCTTAAAAAAATAAAAATAAAATGTTTGCGCAGTCGACAGGATTCGAACCTGTGCGGGGAGACCCCGATGAATTTCTAGTCCATCGCCTTACTCACTAGGCCACGACTGCGGGACGAGTAGGGGGATCTGAAATATGGTAGTAACTCAAGGGCTGGGGATGTCATGGGTGAAACGTTGCATGTAGCCGCTCAAAGTCTATACGGGAGAGGGCGCTGCGGTCAAATGCGTATATAATCGCGTTAAACTTTGAATGCATTGGCTCAACGTTTATAGACGAGAGGGCGCTGCGGTCAAACGCTCAACTGCGTATATAACCAGGATCCATACCACACATTCTCTTTCTGACATGGACCGTTGGCTTAAGCGGTGGAGATGCGTTCCCATGGCTTCTAGCGGATTCAAGCTGATCCGCTAGAACAACCACTGGCTCTGCATTTGACCGACCATAAAGCTGTAATAATGAAGTCGAAACGCAACCCGGAACTCAGCGCTACCTATGAGCAATAAAAAAAGATCAGCACCATCATCACTACATATGAACAAAATCAGTATCATCAGCACCAAATCAAATCAAATAAAATCAAATTTATTTGACACCACATCGTGCAAGAATGGTGATGTCGGGAGCACAGACAAAAAGCCACTGGAGTGTGGCTTGACGAGGTCTGTGCCCCCGATTGATCTAATTAGCGACAGCGGCTATTATACAATAGTAAACAAGGAACAAGTAACAATCTATACAGCAGTTGGCAAAACAGAACTTAGCATATGTCAGGCCAACAATGCAGTGAAAACAAAAACCGGAAAAACAAGGTTGTATAAAAGGAAACATAATAACATCAAAAACACATCTACTTTCTAATGAGTGTAGGAATTGAGTAATGATGCCAGTGTGTAAAGAATTGATTGAGTACCGTAATTTGTACGTGCAAAGGGTATATTCCACATTTCACTGTGACGTGTGTTATAGCTAGGGTGTGTATTTTCCGGTTTTAACCGAAAAACACCGATAAACATCCGTCGGTTACGAAAATATAAAATCGGCTAAAACCGAAAAACACCGGTGGTTGGATATTTTTGCCCTGTTTAAAACCGAAAAACACCGGTCGTTGCTAGTTTCCGACCTAGCGCAACTCTTTCCCCATAG